AAGCAGATCAGATAATGGATGGATGGATAAAGTGAGTTGTTTTTTGCACATCCACTTTTTTTAATGTTTGTGTTCATCGGGCTGATCGATTATCTGCCATAGCAAATTCACTTGCTGTTAATAAATAAAGGAAATAAAGCAAGTACATTGTGTGAACTCAAAAACTTGCGTACTCTGTAAGACTGTAAAGAATAAAATCGGCATCTATTTGGAGTGCAAATGCCTCTGTGTTGCAAGAGATGCGAATTTCTGTAGAGAAAACGAACAGTTTCCAAGACACATTGAATGATGCATTAGAACAGAAGCTTACGTGTCTGCTGACATACTTGATATCCCACTGTACCACACCATCACACACAATCATCACCCCCTCAGGCTAATTTCTGTGGAACATTAGGAGGGTGAATCGCTGAATTCATCTTTGATAATGATTCCATTATGGAATAATGCTCATAAGCCAGTGTGCACTGGCTTGGAATGTATTTGTGTCTTAAGTCATTTGCTCTGTGCCACCATTCCTCACATCTCCATTTTTTATTCATCTAGCCAACGTCTTAGCCACAAGCAGAAGGAATATGAGGGGATGCCAAGCAGACAACAAAAAAGGCTGATAAGGGTTATATCTTGGCTTCTGCCACTCCACCACTCTCACATTTAGTCTGCCAAAATTGCTGCCAGGCCCACTTCAATGGGTGCGGGGAAAAAAAACCCAAAACAAAACATACTTCTTAGTTATACCATGCATTCCCGTATTCCTTTTTTATTGTTACTTTATAGCTTAGCGTGTTTTTCTCTCAGAGTTATGTGAGTGGTAAGCACCTATTGTATACATTTGAATGAATAGACAGACACATATAGCATATACTATGAGGATTTTTTTCTTTCCAAGCCATCTAAAAAAACTACAGTATAGAAAAGCCTCATTGTAATTGCACTTCCACTAGTTTCAACATGACTGTGATAACTGAGTGCCGTAAATGACATTCCCATTTAATGGACTTGTGATTTGAGGGACAGTCCACTCAAAACGCCCCATTGTTCAGGACAGTAATAGTCAAAGTGTGTTAGTTCCTGAATTGGCCACTGTAGCCATGTTGGCACAGGCAACGTTCCTGTTAAAGGCCGTGAAAAGCATACACATGAGATTAGTTTCGCCGTAAACACATATCTCAAAGGGGGCGTGTCGTATCTACCTATTTATATTTATGGCTGTTGTTTACTCGGTTGCTTGTCGTGTACGTTTTGAACATTTTTTGTCACGATATACAGTAATCCCTCGTTTATCGCTGGGGTTACGTTCCAAAAAGAACCACTGATAAGTGAAATCCGTGAAGTAGTGAACTTTATTTTTTTAAAGTTATTATACAATACTTAACTATATATACAATGAAATCAAAGGCCAAAACCTGTTTTCAGGTCCAATTACAAAAAAAACCCAAATGTTTTCAACAAATAACTATAATAGTTTTCGGAAATACTGCACTGTCGACATGCGGCGCCGTCGACGCGTTCTGATTTAAAGGGTTAAAAGCATTAAAAAAACTGCACTAAAAAAATCCGTGAAACAGCGAAGCCGCGGAAAGTGAACCGCGTTCACTCTCTCTCTCTCTCTCTCTCTCTCTCTCTTGCCTTGAATGGAAGAGCTACCAATCAGGCCTACAAGGCCAACAAATATGGCTGATCCCTTGGTGTAACATAATCTGTCAGTGTGTATGTTTACTTTCACGACAGGCTACCTAATTAACAAGTTAGAAGTTGGTCCTTTGTGCTGCAGTGTTGGCAGAAAAAAACCTTTAGGAATAGCTGTCTCATTAGTGAGGCATAGTTTACAACCGACACACAGTGGTATAGTTTACAGGTATGTTGTGGAAATTGTAGAACTCGAAGAAAGCGACAATTTCTCACGTGCGCACTCCGAGAGAGAGTGTGTCGTGTTTTTTTTATTTGCACCACAAAAAAAACACTCGTGCCAAACGAAGCCCGCCGAAAGTAAGTGTGTGGGAGATTTAGCATGACCATTACACTCCATCATATTTAGCATGGCTCAGAACCAAGGACAGCCATAGCAGCACTTTCTTTATTGTTCTGGTTCAAAATTTGAATCACAACTCCTCTCCTCCTTGCACTCACCCTGTGGTCAATTAGACCAAGTGGCCAGTTCCTTCCTTCACTTTAATTGGAAAATTGGACGGCGGTACGTTTAGTCAGTAATGGTGTGTTGTATTTGGTGGCGAAAAGTCGGAATGGCGGTGTCCTGTCAGAATTCAGAGAGAGTCTCAGTTGCGTGTATCCTACTTTGCAGCTCCAGAAGAACAAGTGGTGCATTTTTGAGAGTGCAGCTGTAAGCATTTCTGTAATTCAAGGTGGCATCATTAGATGCTTATTTTTTTCACCCGCTGTGTCTAACAGAAAAGAGAAACGATGCTGCCTGGATCAGCTTTGGCACCTCACTCTCTGCACCTCCCACAGGGCAAGAGGAGGGGAAATTAGAGGAGAATGGGAAAACATGACAATCATTGTGTTGTTAATGAATTAGCATGCTAAGAAAACAAGTGGTGCATGCAGGCGAAAATGAAGGGTTACATTATTCGGTTGTTTAGTGGAAATATCATTTGTTGATGGTGTATGAGTATGAATAAAAGAGCCTGTACACTGGAGAGAGCTGACTGGGAGTTTGGAGTTATACTAGAAGTGTTTTGTAAACTGCTCAAATATTTGACCCAAAACGTCTCACTTTTTATGTGGCCCAGTCACAATGGTGTGATTTATACTGTTCCAAGGGAATTAATTAAATATCAAGGTGGAAAAAATGACTTAAAAAAATAGTACCAATTATTATAGGTGATTTGGATCTGTTTCCCTTTACATGTATGGTCAACATTGAGCCAGGTTGACACCATCTTTTTCCTTAGTTGCCACAAAAAATTACCTCATTCGAAATATCTGTGTTTCCATTCCTAGTTTGCTGTTGTACTATTTGCATTTTGTGCATTTCTGAGGACAATGGAAACACAACTACTCTGACCAATACTAAACTGTTATCTTTTAGTCAGTTTTGGGACATTGCATCGTCTTTGTTGGCACAAAGTGAACCAAACCAAATTAGCTGAGATGCCTTCATAGTCAGGAGGTTAAACAATCGTCATCAGAATAGGTTTTTTTTTGAAAACCCAAGTAGTCCTCCCAAAGAAGCGATAGAATCAGGAGATAACTACAACATTTTCTATTTTGTTTTATCGGACACAGAGGAGACGTGTCAACAGTCGAGTCCGACAGCAAGCAAACAAACGAATCAGACAAGTAATAACCAAGATTCAACAAAAAAAGAAAAAAAACTGCTGATAACTTAGGCTGGAGTCTTTGATTTTATGTTTTATCCTGACACCACCTGCCTGCCCCCCCTTCCCCCAACAATTATGGTGCCATGTATTGATTATTTTAATGATGAGTCATCCAGAAGGCTTGTTCAAAAAGTAAAACTAAAGGCTCCAAGTATGTCTTGGCTGTTTAGTGAAAGGGGAAGTCTGTGTAAAGTGTTGAGTCATCTTCACATTGGATTAGAATGCATAACGGGGATTTCTAAGGGTGAAATACTTTACAGTACAATCAACTGTGGTAGAGCTCACTTATAAAATCAAAGTGTACCGATACAAAAAAAAAAAAAAAAAAGACTTTTGTACTTTTTTTAATGTATGTTTCATAATCCATTATGTTGTCTTACAGGTAGAGGCTAGTAACAACATTCAGATTGTCGATAAGGGGAAAACCTTAAAACTACTGAAGGCAGCGACAGCAGATGCGGGCAGCTACACCTGTAAAGCCCTCAACATTGCTGGCAGCACACAAAAAGACTTCTTTGTGGACGTACTGGGTGAGTAAAAGCAGATAAATCATACGGAAACAAAAGTGCTGTTTATTAATAATTGGGCAGCACAATGCTGGTTTTGATAAGCAGGATGCTCCAGGATGGGATCTTGCTTAAAATCTTGGTCGGTGGGCTGCATCTTTCCCAGACAGGATATACAGTATGATATGATAGGTGGGGGTGAATGATTCATTAACCATATGTCCTCTGTGTCACAGTCCCACCCACCGTTGCGGGGTCCGATTCTCCCCAAGATATGTCTGGAATTCTCAAACAGGAGATCAGGTTGGAGTGCAAAGTAAAAGGAGTGCCATTTCCCACGATCCAGTGGTACAAGGATCGAAGGTCAGTACCCCAAAACATTATGAATGGTCAACGTGAATGAAGGCCTTCTTTAATCATTCCCTTTCAATCATGCTATTTTGTGTTTCTAGGCTGGTATTTCTTGGGGATCCAAACTTGGAGGTCATGGACCATGGGCAAGTGTTAAGAATAAAGAGTGCCCGTCTAGGAGACCAGGCGAGGTATCAATGTAGCGTCATGAATACAGCTGGCAAACAGTCCAAGGACTTCAATCTCAAGGTGTATGGTGAGTGTTTAACTGAAAAATTGGGGTCAGCCATTCCCATTGTTTTCTTTTTCATGAGATGGCAGGACAAAATATTTGGGAAATGTCTCAGCAGCATCTAATATGGTTTTACAAAGGCATGATATAAAAATGTGTGTGAAGTACGTCACAACACGTCTCCAAAGAAGGATTTATTGCTCAGGGTTAATGAAGATAGACTGGTTTTAACCAGTGAAAGTGCACCTAGAACATTGTTATGAATTTGGTCAGACACAAATATCCCGCGGCAAGTGACATGTTCCAACTTCATGGTTTTTTTTTTGTTTGTTTGTTCTTTTATTCCAAGTTCCCCCATCCATCAGAGGTGGTAACCAAACAACAGAAGTTACCGTCCTGCTGGACACACTCGTCACGCTTGAGTGTGAGGCACGGGGAGTGCCACTCCCCATCATCACCTGGTTCCGAAAAGGAGAGGCCATCCTTTCCAGCCGCCAGTCTCAGTACGTAGAACAGGGGCGTTTCCTGAAGATCCCTCGGGTGCAGGCATCAGATGTTGGCCAGTACACCTGCAAGGTTACCAGTGTCTCCGGAACCGCGGAAAAGATCTTTGAGCTTGATATCTACTGTAAGAAATCAATATTTTATGATGACTTCCTTCAGTTTTATACTAACCGTATTCTTTCACTTCATGAGTGTGAGAGTGAATATAAAGTAGTAATTCTACAATTACTCTACTTTTTCTCCTGATTCATCCTCCATCGACAGTGCCTCCGTCCATAGCAGGAGGACAGAGCGGAACTTCTGAAAAAAAGGTGGTTCTCAGTAAGCCTCTCATCTTAGAGTGTGAGGCTGGTGGCTACCCTCCCCCTTCCCTTACCTGGCTGAAGGATGGCGTTCCAGTCCAACACGGAGACAAAGTGCGAGTCCTTGACCAAGGGAGGAAAATTGAAATCATGTCAGCCATGGTGTCGGACTCAGGACGCTACGTTTGTGTGGCAACAAGCATTGCTGGCGAGGCGGAAGTCACGTATGACGTCAGAGTTTTGGGTATGCGCAAATATCTGTGTGGTAGTCGATGTGGCGCGCATAATATACAATACTGTGTGGATTAGTATTTTGGATTTATTATACAATAATGCATTTATTTGATACAGTGGATTATATTTATGTAAGCAGAATTCTTGCATACGGAGGTGTGCTAACTTCCGGTTGCTAACGCATCACGATATACAGTAATCCCTCGTTTATCGCTGGGGTTACGTTCCAAAAAGAACCACTGATAAGTGAAATCCGTGAAGTAGTGAACTTTATTTTTTTAAAGTTATTATACAATACTTAACTATATATACAATGAAATCAAAGGCCAAAACCTGTTTTCAGGTCCAATTACAAAAAAACCCCAAATGTTTTCAACAAATAACTATAATAGTTTTTGGAAATACTGCACTGTCGACATGCGGCGCCGTCGACGCGTTCTGATTTAAAGGGTTAAAAGCATTAAAAAAACTGCACTAAAAAAATCCGTGAAACAGCGAAGCCGCGGAAAGTGAACCGCGTTCACTCTCGAAACAGCGTTCACGGACATCTTCGCGGTCTGGAATCGTCCAGCAAAAAAAACGTCGAGGGTCACCAGTGTGGAAATTGTAGAACTCGAAGAAAGCGACAATTTCTCACGTGCGCACTCCGAGAGAGAGTGTGTCGTGTTTTTTTTATTTGCACCACAAAAAAAACACTCGTGCCAAACGAAGCCCGCCGAAAGTAAGTTTCCATAGAAACAAGCAGACTAAAATGGCGGTCCTTAAAGGGACTGCAATTATTTCTACCCCGTTACCAAATAATCGTGAACTCTCTGACAAGCATATGAACATTGCATTCACACATTTGCAGTTGGTGGTGAATTATGTACACAGAAGTCACTACAATGTTATAATTCAGAGTTTCCATCAATGTCTGATTGAACAAAGCTTTTGGAGCAGTGTCTAATTAGCTGGGCTTACAGGTAAGAGACTAATCTCTCCCCAAGCTTCTATTTTAGTGCCGCGTATTGTTGATTTAAAAAAAAAATGATCTCCTCTCAAATCAGTTTGTGTTGGAGATTTAGCATGACCATTACACTCCATCATATTTAGCATGGCTCAGAACCAAGGACAGCCATAGCAGCACTTTCTTTATTGTTCTGGTTCAAAATTTGAATCACAACTCCTCTCCTCCTTGCACTCACCCTATGGTCAATTAGACCAAGTGGCCAGTTCCTTCCTTCACTTTAATTGGAAAATTGGACGGCGGTACGTTTAGTCAGTAATGGTGTGTTGTATTTGGTGGCGAAAAGTCGGAATGGCGGTGTCCTGTCAGAATTCAGAGAGAGTCTCAGTTGCGTGTATCCTACTTTGCAGCTCCAGAAGAACAACTGGTGCATTTTTGAGAGTGCAGCTGTAAGCATTTCTGTAATTCAAGGTGGCATCATTAGATGCTTATTTTTTTCACCCGCTGTGTCTAACAGAAAAGAGAAACAATGCTGCCTGGATCAGCTTTGGCACCTCACTCTCTGCACCTCCCACAGGGCAAGAGGAGGGGAAATTAGAGGAGAATGGGAAAACATGACAATCATTGTGTTGTTAATGAATTAGCATGCTAAGAAAACAAGTGGTGCATGCAGGCGAAAATGAAGGGTTACATTATTCGGTTGTTTAGTGGAAATATCATTTGTTGATGGTGTATGAGTATGAATAAAAGAGCCTGTACACTGGAGAGAGCTGACTGGGAGTTTGGAGTTATACTAGAAGTGTTTTGTAAACTGCTCAAATATTTGACCCAAAACGTCTCACTTTTTATGTGGCCCAGTCACAATGGTGTGATTTATACTGTTCCAAGGGAATTAATTAAATATCAAGGTGGAAAAAATGACTTAAAAAAATAGTACCAATTATTATAGGTGATTTGGATCTGTTTCCCTTTACATGTATGGTCAACATTGAGCCAGGTTGACACCATCTTTTTCCTTAGTTGCCACAAAAAATTACCTCATTCGAAATATCTGTGTTTCCATTCCTAGTTTGCTGTTGTACTATTTGCATTTTGTGCATTTCTGAGGACAATGGAAACACAATTGTACTATTGCTAATGTACTACTAATATGCATTTTGTGCATTTCTGAGGACAATGGAAACACAACTACTCTGACCAATACTAAACTGTTATCTTTTAGTCAGTTTTGGGACATTGCATCGTCTTTGTTGGCACAAAGTGAACCAAACCAAATTAGCTGAGATGCCTTCATAGTCAGGAGGTTAAACAATCGTCATCAGAATAGGTTTTTTTTTGAAAACCCAAGTAGTCCTCCCAAAGAAGCGATAGAATCAGGAGATAACTACAACATTTTCTATTTTGTTTTATCGGACACAGAGGAGACGTGTCAACAGTCGAGTCCGACAGCAAGCAAACAAACGAATCAGACAAGTAATAACCAAGATTCAACAAAAAAAGAAAAAAAACTGCTGATAACTTAGGCTGGAGTCTTTGATTTTATGTTTTATCCTGACACCACCTGCCTGCCCCCCCTTCCCCCAACAATTATGGTGCCATGTATTGATTATTTTAATGATGAGTCATCCAGAAGGCTTGTTCAAAAAGTAAAACTAAAGGCTCCAAGTATGTCTTGGCTGTTTAGTGAAAGGGGAAGTCTGTGTAAAGTGTTGAGTCATCTTCACATTGGATTAGAATGCATAACGGGGATTTCTAAGGGTGAAATACTTTACAGTACAATCAACTGTGGTAGAGCTCACTTATAAAATCAAAGTGTACCGATACAAAAAAAAAAAAAAAAAAGTCTCATAAGCATTTACTGCTGTGGACTCTTTGTGTACGCACATGGCTTATTCAAATTCGCTCAAATGTCATGGCCGGTGGCTGGATTTGTGTCCATGGGTGTCTCTAGTTGATAAAACCCCAAGACAGAGAACAACCTCGACAATTATGATTTGATTCCCAGCAGTAATTGACAATCTTCACTTTTCTTGTATTAATGTTTTATTATCACCTTAAGTGCTTGGTTCAGACTTTAGAGCCTCTGTCTCCATCTCAATTTTTACAGTGCAGTATACTGTGGAGTAAATCTGATTTTGTTCTTGTAAATGTCGTTTTGACAAACCACGAATCCTACCAAACATTTTTGGAGTGGGTTCAACTCAGGGCTCGAAGCACTGCAGGTCTGTAAAATATTAGACACAATTATTGTGCTCCACATGGTCTCACAAAAAACAAATAAACAGATGTCTGTAAACTCAGTGTTTTGAAAGATTCCTTTTTATCTTACACTAGACAAGCACACACTGCATCCAGAGTACAGATAACGTACTTGATGACGAACACCACGGAGCCTTTAAGATAACACTGCCCGTTATTAGATCTGATTTGATCAGATTTTGCAGTGGCTTCTGATGAAGCTGGTTCTGAATAAGTGCTGCATATTTTTTAAAAAAAAAACACTTGCAGTCAGTCCTTTGATTCTCGCAAGACATCACGCATGACTTCAAACGCTGAGGTTTTGCAGACCTTAAAAAGCATATTTCCCGAAATTGTCGGTCCTGTTCCAAACAATTGCATGACCTCAGGGCCCATGATTCATTGCATCCGAGATAGATCCTGCTTTTTGAGTAAGGAAAAGCAAAGTTTGCAGTCTTGTATCTGCAATCAAGATTTGAATGAATGTATCGGATAGGGATGCTTTTTTACAAATATTTTAATAATATTCTCCTATCAGGTGATACAAACAGTTTTCACAGAGACCGCAAATTCATCTTGAATAGTACTATACAGCATGTTGATACACAGTGACACTTAATACAGAGCTTTCATCAATTCCTGTATCAACATAGTGACAACATTTTTTGGAGGGCAGTTCATATCAGTATCATACCCATGAGTCATGCCAGTACTATCAGAAAGTTGATACTATCTAATCAAATGAGTTGCCTTCAGAAATTAGTCGCACCTAGAGGGATACAGCTTGGGACTGAAAATATTTGACTTTTATGGGATGGGAACATTGAAGCAGAACTTGGAATTAGATTGGAAGTTGGTGGTGTTACATGTTTTTTTGTGGGGAAAACCAAATACTGTTGAGACTGGAATTACTTTATTTCCCGTCATCTACATTTTTTGGCTGGAAAATATAATCTATTGAATATCTTAAATGGAGCAAGTACCGTAGATCTATTAGTATGCAAATGAAATCACGGCAGCACACACGATGTATTCATCGGATGGGTGGATGTATATGCTCGATGTTTGAAGAGATCCTCTTTCGTGTACTATGTACTCATTCTCCATTCAAGCATTGTCAATGCTGTCATTTTATAGTTGATTAGAATGTTGTAGATGATGTAGATATGTAGATACCATCAATGTGAACGCATCCAACCATTCCTTTTGTATCAGCCGTACAATCAATACAAATGCAATACGGCACAAAATTAATGAATTGATCTACTCAACGGTAAGGACTCATTCACTGTACTGCCCATCTTGATACCCAGGGTCTATTCATTATATCCAGTATTATACATAGCCATGTCAATTAAGGAACCGACATTCACTCTTGTGGGTGGTTGAGTGCCTTTCTGAAAGTAAACGCTCATTTAATTCTGTCGTCAGCCTCCTTCAATAACCCTGAACAACTACCTCGACGTTTCTTTCCTTTCAAATGTCTTATTGCATACTATATTTTATACATGTTTCAAATCTTTTCACCCATATATATTTTTTCCCCCTTTATCTAACAGTTCCTCCCAAGATACATGATATTTCCTCTGACATCACGGTAAACGAGGGCAGCAACGTGTCGCTCGTCTGCATGGCCAGCGGGAAACCTGAGCCAGCCATTTCCTGGAGACACATAACCCCATTAGGTGAGTTCACGTCACCTCACACATACTCATGCTAATGAATGGGTGGATGCACCTACAGAGGAAATGAGGAAGCATGGTTGGGATCAATAGGTGAAAGACCGAGGAGAGATGGTTGTGCATTGAGACATAGAATGGGGAGGGGGACCGAGATGAAAGATGCGATCGGCTGGATCCATGAGTGAAGGGGCGGGGGCGGCAGTAGATGTAAAAATAATTGAGCACAACGCGTCATGCAGAAAGACATGCAGTCATATTGCTGTCCATATAAGGCATACGCAGTAAAAAAAAAAAATAGCAAGGGCTTTCTCATTACATATAATTACAGGATGCAATTATCCTCATGAGTTATTAAATTTGGACAGTTTCCACTCATTTCTACCTAGCTTCACATTTGTTTTTTTTTATTTGGGAGTGTGCACACTTTATTATTATTATTATTATTATTATCATTATGTAAGTTGAGTTATTTTGCGCAATATCAGTCTCGTATCCACTCAAAAAAAAAAAAAGTATGTCAAACTCTGATACTACTCGCACAGGGACGAAACAGCCCCTACTCGAGTATCCGATACACGGTTGAACGCAGAGACTCTAGACTGGTTCGGCGAACTCCCATGCACCCTCAAGGACCCTACCAAGGTTGTAGAATCAGTCCATGTACCACCGCCAGGAGAAAAACGACGCTACTCCTCCTGAATCTGAGATTCAACTTGGGCAAAGATGGCTGGAGGCATGCTGGAATTGAAATTGACCTTTAAAGTCAGTTTGTGTCAAATATGGTCAACATATGTCTGCTTTTACAAAGCGAAAGGCCAAGAGGAAAGGCAAATATCATCTATCTAAATTTGTGGATTTTTTTTTTTTAGACGTGCAAGTAAAGTTTGAGACTGTGAGAACACACTGCTGTGACTTTGCTTTTGGATATATATGCCATGATGATTTTTTTTTTTTGGATCACATCCTTCCATTTATGTGGAAATAGAGAATGCTGTGTAACTGTAAGACCAACAATAGACCTCCAACTCACCTATTTTTCGCCTGTCTAATTTTCATATTAATGGATTACACCTGGCCGTGCCAATCTGATAGCTGCGACGATGCCCGCATTTATCCTTTGGCTGTCAAGTCATCCTGCGTGGTGCGCCTGGCTGATTGTGTTCGCAGAGTTTTCCGAAGATGATCAAAAGAACCATCCTCTGAGTCCGAGTGGCAGTCATTCATCCCGCTTTGAAGTGTCCACTCTTTGAAGTCCGCCTGGGGAAGAAAATGATATGCTGGTCGAATGAAAGGGTGCGGGCCTGAATGTAATCACAGGCTGTCTCCGAGCACATCAGAAACGAAGCCATTAGGCATTGGATCTATGAGGTGACTATTGTAACTGCGTCGATTTGTCCAAGGGATGCAAGACCACTGAAAGGTTATAATGGCCTAATGCCATAAAATCCGTTGGCTATGCAAAGCATTTTCCTTTGGCAAGTTCATACAGTGTAGGAGACTTGAATGTGCAAGCAGTGTGAAAGGAAATATTCGTGTCAGGTACAAGTGCCCGTTGGAAAAAGCGTCAGACTTGTGCCACAAGTTAAACTACTTGTCATTGTCTGCAAGTGTCAATTTGAAGGATAAATCCATCCACTTCCCTATCGTACTGATTGCTGTCACACGAGTCACGTTATAGTAGCGAAGGTCATTGTCCTCGAGCCAGGCGTGAAGCCACTTTGGCCATTTCTATCACTTTTATAACTGAAAGTTGCTGAAAGCCTTTTTTTTTTTTTACAGTCACAAATATGTCCACATGTGGCTGTCATTATTTTCTGGCTTGAACACTGAAGCATTATCAGTGGAAGTGGGTTTGTTTCACACTCGAGATAGTTCTGCTGCACCATTCAGTGAAGAAGAGAATGATAAATTGGCCTGACTGGCTGTCATATTCGTATTCCCCCCATGTTTATTGAGATTTTGCATGTTTTTTCTTCTTTACATGACTGCTAGTTGACAAACAAATGCATTTTTAGCATACACTGAAGTGTGATCATCGACTATTTATTGAGAGATGAATGTTCTTTAAAAATGAAGACTTTTTTTGTCTTTCACAGAGATGCAAATTGCAATGTAAAATGTTGCACAAGCAACGTTTTCTTTACTTTTCCCCCCTATGAGACAAAGCCTGGTCGTTAAACGCTGAACGGAAGAACAACAGCGCCAGAATATGTCGGGAAGAATCACAGCCTTTTGTGTAACAGCTTAATTAACCATTCTTGACAATCCAATTCTCAGACATTTGAAGGGATTTGAATCTCGGCTCAAGCCTATGTAGATAATCTCCTTGTACTTTTGCTTCTTCCCATATTCCATAGACATGTATTTTAGGTCACTTGGAGACTAAATTGCCCCTGAATGTGCATGTAAATGTTTGTCAGTATGTTCACTGTGAGTGACTAGTGACCGGTTGAGGGTGAAACAGGGCACAAAGTCAGCTGTGATAGACTCCGGTTTACCAGTGACCCTAACAGGATAAACAGTAGAACATGACGATGTAAATTTCTTCTTGAGCTTCATGTGTTGCTTTTCAACTAATCACCAACAGTAGTTGTGATTAATGGAATAATTGGATCATATAAATCCGGTCTTATCGCATCCACAAGCAGGTACTCTTATGTAACCATCATCAGATTACACCTAGAATTATTTACTGTCTGTACTAATCAATATTTAGTGCATTTTAAAATGGAACCAAAAACTATACACTATTCAGAATTGCACTAATTATATGAAACTATATATAAATACAACAACAACAAAAATACTTGTATGCATTTTTCGCTTTCCTTGGGCACAACTGTTTGTTTGTTTGTTTGTTTGTTTGTTTTAAATGTAGAAAGTAATGAAATCAGATCAGTAAAAATAGGACAATGTGCAGTTCGAAAGCAAACTAAAATAAACACTTTTGGTGTTGGTATTGGTTTTTAATTTTCTTTTTAATTTATACTTTATCCAAAGCATTTTCATTTCCTTCACTAGGATTCACAATTAGAAAGTAGTGAATTGATTTACAGAATCAAAATATGCCTTGCACCTGAATTGAAAAAAAAAAAAAAAAAAAGATTAGGAGGAACATATTTAGTATGTTAGTACTGTATAATGTAACTAACTAGGTTATGCGTTATTTTGTTATGTATTGCTGTTGAGGGTTTGGGGCAAACACATCATGTTGTGTTACTTTGAGTGCTGCGATGTCCATAAATAGTTCATGTTGATGTTCATAAATGTAACACTGTGCACGGTAGCAACTGACCAGAATGGTCGTGCGTGTGCTTTTCCTGTTCACTGTCAACAACGGGCATACTCAAACAGTGTTTTTGGTTGTTAATGAACGTGTGAATTCACGGTCTAATACCTTATTTGTCCATCCATGGTAGACACGACATGTTAGCCTACCACACCAGGACATCACATTAAATCAAACACGTGGTAACCTGCGCATGCTAATGCTAGCTTCCAGACATGACTGTCCCTATGTCAGAAATTAAATCGGGCATCAGCCACGACATGCTTCCTTGTTAGGGGCTTGTTTATCACTGTGCTTCAATAAAAGGGTGATTTGTATCCTATTAGGTATTTTTGGTGAAATGTGCCCAAATGTGTGGATTTTGTTGCTAACGCAGGTTAGCACTGACACCACATTACCCACAATGCTTCTGTTTCTATCACGGATTACCACTACTGCGCATTTATGTCACAGGCAAAGCATACAGCCAGTAGGAGAAGCGCAAGACCAGGCAGTTTGAAAGATAAACAAAGTGCCAAATTAATAATATATAAATAAACGAATGGTGGTTAATTGTAGACGATTTTGATAGTCAATGGTGCCGTGACTGGGCGACTAACCTAGGCAGTCCTTTGGCTAATGCTGTCTTCTCCAAACATAAAGTTCATGTTTTTGGGTCTCTGAATTTAAAATGTGTTCTGAATGAACTTGTAGTGTTAAATTAAAACTGAATATCAATGAGAAACGCCATTAGCAGAAGTGCATTGGTAAGTTTCCCAGAAGCCACTCTCGCGTGATAAATCTACCACTTGACATACCTACTTACAATATGCTGAAAGCTTTAAAGAGCTAGAGAAGGACTTGATGGTATTGCCTCCACTACAGAGTACTTAGCTAGAGTGAGGTAACCTCTAATAAACACATTTTGGGGTGGCTGAATTGCTGATCAAAAGACCTTTGAGATTTAAATTTCCAAACATAATTATTTTGTACTATTCTGATATTCATTCTGAAGGTAGCTTCAATGTGCATGACTTCAGGATTGCCAAATGCAAACTGCTGGTGGAGAGAAGATATGCACAGTCTTATTGTGGATGTGTAAATACAAATAGTGCTCTGTTGGGTTATTCCTTGGGCAGTGCCACAGCCCCTTATGCAAATAACCCAAAACATTGCCTCTTTGTTTCCTCTGAAGATGAAGCATATCGTCCACAAAACATGCCACTTGGTAAAAGCAGTTGCCTACCAGTTGTTTGATGGGACAAATGTCCTGAGAGTCAGCAATGTGGTCAGCCTTGACATTGCCACAGTACACTGACTGATGCCAATGCCTGTCTTGACATATATTGCTGGATGCCAAATGGGTTGACAGTAGCTGATGGGAAAATCTTGACATATCTTCGATATTACCCTGGAGATTATGTTACCCATCACGAGGCATGGGTACCTAGCTCCAGTCCTAAACTGGTTCCGGGGTTGAATTTTTAAAAACTGCAGTATTGATAAACTCTACCCTTCACGGTTCTGTCAACGGTCTTGGAGAAATTACTAAAATTCATTTGTGATTGATATATACTATAAAAATACTTAGCACCTTTTACCTCTCCAATATTGTTGTGAACTAACAATAAAATGAACATGTTCGTCTCAGATCTATGTTCACAATCGGAAGCAAGCCTTCTCATTCCAGTGCTGTGTGCAAAATAAAAGCAATATTTCCGCAATTTTGAGATCG